TTGTTTAGATGGATGAATAATTCAGATCTGACCGAGTTTTAAATCGCATTTGATGCGAACGGGGAAAAAGCTAACGCATGCGCGCCCTCTCATATTTTAACGGAAGCCCAGGCCGAGATATCACCGCCCAATAATGCCTTAAGTGAGTCCCCAATGGAAGAAAAATGCAAAGATGTATGCAACAGCAGAATTATTTTAGTGTAAAAGGTACAACGTATTAAGGAAAACAAATGTATGTAACACGATGTCCACTGAACCGATCAGCTCATCTCCTGAAACAGTCTCCGGTAGGATTGGCTGGCGATTCAATGGCTGATTATAGTTTGAATTTCAAATTACGATTGATTGACTGCCCGATACGTTCGCTCGCCTACTGTTTATGGGTTACGGCTTGCTAAGGTTTTTCGTTAGGCCGTCTTAACACCTGAGTCAAGGGAACAGGGGGAGGGGTCGATAGAAGAAGGCCAGTTAGACGGAAAGGTCAGTGTTGTCGTCGCTGATGATTGTCAGTAGGCTGTACTCAATACACCAGAAAAATGCCAAGCTTTGTTGCGTTATGATTGTGAACTCGCTCTATTCATGGCATAAGTAAAAGTATTTGTCGCAATTTATTGTGTGTATGCTGGTGGCGGTCCGGACTAAAAATAGCAGAAAAATAGTCTTGCGTTAGATGTAGAATATTTTGTACGTTAATCAGTTATGCTATCTGCTGAGGCCAATGTTGATAAGGCAATAGTAGCTAATGTGGGCCCACTCATATACCCCTAGTTCTAGATTTTGTCCAGCAAAAACGGTGGTTATAGAGTTTTAGGGGATGGAGAAATAGGATAGGCAGAGAAGGACATTTTAAGAAGTTTTAAGTGAAAAAAATGAAGTCGAAGTTGCTTCCCGCGGCCTCTGGGAGTAACTAGTTTCGCATGTAAACTGAAGGTGTGCGCGTCGCCTCGCACCGCGGACTATAATAATCTAGCTCCAGAACGATAAATTTGACCTCAGGTAAGGTAAAATAAACGACCTCCTAACGACAACTTCAATTTTTTTGGGAAAATCAAGAAACCTGCAATTTCATTATCG